GGCAAAGGGAAGAAATTTCATGGTAGTAGATACATAAAAGCTTGAATTAATTCAAGAAAAGATTCAGAACCAGTGTCTGGTTGACTTACAAAGACAAAATGAAAACTTGATTTACCTTTTGTGTGATGTTCAGTTGCCTAGTAACATCTTCTAGTGATTTAGTCAATGATAATTTTTCTTCCTATTTATAAACATAATAAAATTACGCAGGTTACAATTTAATACAACCATCCATAGGCAAACTACTCAGAGTAGCAAAATACAGCAGGAGCATCACTCTAAGAGCTTGTTACCCACTCGAAGTCTTAGCCCTTCTAAATCAGAGCCTGCATTTTAACAAGCTCCCCAGATGACCTATATACCATCAACATTTGATATGCAAAGAACTGAGCATGTTACTGAAGCCTTTTTCTCAAACCTCTCAGTTGGCAACACTGTGCTGCTTTCTTGTGCCACATACCCTGTGTAGCATTTTGCAGTCAACATGTTTGAGCACTTATTTCCAAGCATATATGCCAGCTGATGAAATGATGCGTTTACTTGGCCTACGTAAGGGGAAAGAAACCTAGTAAAACCTCTGGCCCTAAGTTTCTAGCTTCCTGGTCTACTTTTATACTTGCTGCTATAGGTAGTAGTTAAAGGCAAAACAACAAAGTTCACTACAAAAAAAAAAAAGAAGGACACTAAGCTCTGCAATGATTTATCAACATACTTAAAAGTTTAAAAATAAAGACTTTAAGTCTCGTTTAAAAGAATATTTTAAATTTAAAATCTTGGGCTGGAGAGATGGCTCAGAGGTTAAGAGCACTGCTGCTCTTGCAGAGGACCTGAGTTTGATTCCTAGCACCCACATGGCAGCAGACAACATAGTAACTATAGGGGATCTGACACCTTCTTCTGGCCTCCACAGGCATGCACATGGCACACTTACATATATGCAAGCAAAACACTCTTACACATAAAATTTAAAGAAATTATAAAACTTTAAAATCTTACCTTACTGCATTTCAAACAGCCTGCTAGAAATTTCTTTATTTCTACATCATTTCCAGGTAAAAGTTTTAATGACAGGTGTATAAGATGCTTAAAAGGATTTGTCTCCACTACATTTAAAAGTACTGGTGAGTTATCCAAAAGAGCAGCTGGAGAAACTAACTGCAGCAGAAACCTTTGAGGAGAGAAGGTGAATTACAATGTGTTCATGACACGGTGAAGCCCTGCCACTGACTCATAAGCTCCTCTACTTAGACCAGGAAAGGGAGCAAACTAAAATCACAGGGGCTGTGTAAAAGGGCTCTCATGGCTAAAATTGAACAGCGTGAGGGCTACTGAGTAGGACACGGTCAGTCCTTGAGTTCATAATGG